TCTGCAGCACCTGCAGGGATGGTGACCCTATTGCTCCCTGGGCAGCCGTGCCAGTGCCCAACCACTTTTTCCAAGAAGTTTCTCCTGTATCCCACACGAACATCCCCTGGTACAACTTCAGGCCATCGCCTCTCATCTTGTCATTCTCATGTAATGTAATTTTCTATGCGAAACGTGCTTGTGATATAGAGTCGCACAAAGGGAGAAGGTTGGTGTTTTGGGTGAAGCTATAAATGTTAACGGGCAGCTTGTATTGGGGTTTATAGGTGGGCCGCAATCCCAGCCCTGCTTTTAGACCACCCAGCCTGTCTGTGTGTTTAATTTCTAAAAAAATATTTTAATAACCTTTATAGGGTTCTGTATCTGCTTCCAGCTCAAGCCCTACCCACAATCAATGCAGCCACATCATTAAAATCACCTTATTTATGGGCGTGCCTATATGAATATGTAAAAATTTCGATGTGGATGTAGCAAAAAGAAGAAACAGGCTCAGTGCTGTGCTCAGGGCATTGCTTGCAGTGAGGCTGTCCTTGTGCATCTCTGCAGTTTTGGGACTGTTGTGCATCCAGGGGTGCAGGTGGTGCTTTTGTTTGCTCTGGGTCTTCTCTGCAAAGCTTTAGTTCTGCAGTGTGATTGTAAAATGAAGGATCCCCTGGTGCTTGCCTGCCCCAAGCCTCCCTCTGCCCTTCTTGGGGCTGAATTTCCTTTATCACACTTTTCCTTCAATCCTTAAAGGCCATTTTAGAGAAGAACATCATCGGGAACAGATTGTTCCCTTTGAAGTTGGCACATGGGGCCTTTTGTGCGTGTGTATTTTTGCTCTGAGCACCCAGCACACGAAAAGCACAGCTTCAAACATCCCTGCGCGCTCCCTGCTGCAGTGAGAGCAGAGGGATGAAACTCAGCATTGTGCCCTGTGGGCAGGGGGAGATGCAGACCATGCATGAGGCTGATAGAGAAAATCAAACAGTTCTGGAAGTAATAGGGCAGATAAGAATATGGATTTTTAACTCCCCCCTCTCCCAAGGGAAAAAATAATGGGCAATGGGCAGCTCTGCTCTGGCTCTGAGCACATGAGGACATCCCTAAGCTCTCTGTGAGCTGATGTTCTATCAAGAGGAGGACTCTGGTGGCATCCATGTCTCCTCTGTGTCACTGTTTCCCCTCCCCACAGCCCATGCTCCTTCACCTGCCTCCTCCCTTTGCCTGGAAGTGATGGCAAAGCACTGTGAGAGCTGGGGGATTTTGTGCTCTCCAGCTGAAGTTCACGTCCCGGTTGCTGCGGGTAGAGGAGAGAGCAGGTTTTATGATGTTCAACTTTGCTCATGTGCCTTTGGGATAAATTAAGGGTAAAATTTCCTAAAATTGTAAATGTTTACTGCATGTGGACTCAGGGCTGTGTATGTTTAAGGCTGGCAAGGGGCCAGGCGAGCAGATGGGACGCAGACCGCACGGCACGCTATGCGCAGCGGGGCGGGCGCATTTGGGGAGGTGAGAAAAAGCAGCACCAAAAGAGGCATGGAGCAGCAGCCAGGCTGTGCCACCACTGCTCAAGGATGCACGTGTGGTTTGCTGAAACCCCTGCAGCTGGGCATTTGCCAGTTTTAGACTTGTGCATTTGTGGCGTTGGTTTGAGATGTTTGCCTGTGAGGCTCTGAGCTCTGCGTGGTGCCCCACGTTATTTCCTTCTCTTGTGCCTTTTGTTTCCTTCCAGTTTTACTGATGCCACTTGGAAAGCCCTTGCTCTTTGTAGAGGTTGGGTGGGAGCCTGGCTGTTGGCTTCCCAATGGACTCGACTCGGACTTGATGACCTCCAGAGGTCTCTTCCAACCCCTATGATTCTATGAAAACAAGGCGCTTGCTTTATTTCACCTTAAAACTCCCACCTTATCCCTATGCCTGCACCCAGCCTGCTTGTTGCTGCAGGGAGGACAGCTGCTCTCAGGACGAGAGCACTCCACAGCCCAACCTTGCGTGAGAGGCACCGTCGGTGCTGCACAGAGCTTGGCGTGCCGAGGCAGCTGTGCTGAACAGGTAGGGCAGGTATGGGGAAACGCTCAGGGCCCCGTGCTCACCGCAGGGCTCCTTCCCACCTGTGAGCCCTGATCAAACACCTCGCCAGGCAGCCCGAGTGGGAAGCCATGATGTAATCTTGGGAACCCAAAACAATCGGCCCTTTCATGGCAAGACGATAACAATCAAAACAGTATGTAAGGGCCTGCCATGCAAGAATACACATGCACATTATACACTGGAGGGAATTGAAAGCCGTAGTGAAAAGGGGCTTGTTAAGAATATGTAGCCTGCTTTCATAATCAGTTTGTAAAAGAATAGGCCCTTGAAAACAAGGGTTTAGGCTTATAGAAGGCTTTCTGTGCCTTGACCTTGCAAATATGCAGAGATGCCAACTTTTTTCTGAAAGTGAACTTGGAGTCTCCCAGCGTGATGCCGCGGCGGTTGGCAGTGAGCTGGGGAGCACTCCTGGGGTGCTGGTGCTCCCCATTGGGTCTCAGGCACAGCTTCATCTCTTCTCCCTTGGAATGCTGCAGGAGTGATCATCCCAATGCAGTCTGGACCCCTCCGTGGGACTTGTGGTGTGCCCAGGTGGAAAAAGTGCTGGAGCACAGCACTGTGGTGTGCCCATTTTACAGATGGGAAGCTGAGGTTGAGCACTGGGAAAGGAAATATTTCCTCTTTCTATGTATCAGTGCCTGTCTGTACATTGGGGTTGACCTGAAGCTTAACCTAATGTCTTTTAGGTGGACCCATGGGTGACCCATTGGACAACACAGGCTTTGCTTCGAATGCTTTGTCACTTGCACAGTTATTCCCCACCTTTCCCAATGTAGATCTCAATGTCTCTGGATATTTTGCCATTGCTCCCTTGGCCAAACCATCCTGTAGGACTCAAAGATCTGTGTCCCTTCCAGCTTGGGTTATGCTGTGATTCTATTCTATCCCATCTCTGTGTCCTGCAGCTTTTGGGTCAGCCTGCTCTACGCTGTCTTTGTGCATCTGTTTTACAATGTGTTTCTTTGCAGCAGGGGGAAACCTTCCAAGAATCCCCACCTATTTCCGTAATAAGGAAGCCTTTGTTTTCCTGGTGCACAATGCAGCTTTATGTGATTTGGTTGCTTTCTGACCGACCTCAGTACCATCAGCTCGACTCCAAGGTGTGAGGTGTGCACAAGTTGGCAGCCAAGGGAGGAGGAACATCTCCTGGGACTGTTTTGTTCCCAGTTTGGGCACCAGAGCTCAATGTTCTCTGCCTGAGCATCTGGGCATCTCCCATATGCAGGGAACCAAGGCAGGATGGACAGGGAGGTTGGAGTTTTCCTGGCCTCTGTGTTACCCAGGATTCATTCTGAGATGCTGAGCCCCATAATCCGAGTGGTGCTCAGGCAGAGCTGCGTGATAGGAAGCACTGAAGGAACAAGTGGCCCCATTGGGTGATGGAGAGTGTTTTCAGCAAGTGAGAGCCCTTTGGAGGGACCTGAAGCCATGAGGTGGCAGAGGGATAATGCCATCCTGCAGCTGAGACCCTTTCCCTATCCCACATCCCAAGGGTGCTTGAGCCTCGTGCCAGTGTGATACCTGCACCTACATCCTTGGGAAAACCCTAACCCAAAACCTGACCTGCAGTGGGGGGCACACTGCAGTTGCCTCCCCCCCCAAGGGAGCCCTGAAGGGTTTGCTATAGGGGCAGAGGGCAGGGAAAGGGCAGGGGCCAACCCACCCGTCCAGGCTTCTCCTGCTGGGTCCCTCCCTGGCTTAAATTCCCTTCCCTGTGCCCCTCGGGGCTGCCTCTGTGCATGGGCAGCCCTGCAGCGAGGGGTCAGCGAGGGGGGAGCGCGCTGCTGCTTCCCGTACAGACCCCTCCATTCACACTTCCCTCTCCCACCCCATTAATTTGTTGTGGTTGGGGCTAGTAATAGCTGCTTTGTGCGAAGGCGAGGGAAGGAGGAAAAAAAACCCAGCACACAGACAGCGGCTCCAGTGTTTTCTAAAAGGGATGTTTTTCCCCCTCCGTTCTCTCTCTCTTTCCCTTGAATAATGTTTTTGATTGTAATAGCCTGTCCTGGTTAGGGAAACCCACAGCCTCTCCCCCCTTCCCCTCCCCTCTTCTGTAAACCATGGTTGAAGTTTAAACAACCCGGAGAGATTTTTCTCACCAGTCTTATTTTACTAATAGGAAACAAGTGTTTAAAGGGAGCTTTCAGCCGCTGGCCAAGAACCCCTGACTCTGCCTGCAGAGCTGGGAGTCCCAATAATCCTTGGGACATTGCACACTGCTATGGTGGTAGTGGGGAGCAGCCTCTGCTTAATGAGGTGCCTGGTGGAGGGGCTCAGGGTGCAACCACAGATGAGATCAGACAGACCCCACAAGTGCAAATCTTTGTTTCTTGGCCGTCAGCTGTTTCCATGTTGGATGAGTGGTTGTGTTGGAGAAGGTGCTGGCTCAGGGAGTGTGGGGTGCTCTGAGGGTGGATGCTGTGCTGACTGCCAGCACGCAGCTGGGGCTGAATTTTGGAGGGGAGATGGAAAGAGGAGAAACCTCACCTGGTTTTCTGCCCTTGAATATATTTCCAAACCTCTCCTGCCTGTCCTTGAGCTTTAAGCTCTAAAAGAGCTGTATTTTCTGCCACTGGGGATATAGGGCTTTAATTGGAGCAGCTCAAGTTTACTGTGCCTTCCTGTTATAACATCCTTTATCAAGCCTTTTATCTTTTGTGCTTGAAGAAATGGTCCTCATAGCAGTCTGCATTCTCCTTCATTACTTTACCAATGGACAGATCCCTTCCCTTCCCTTCCCTTCCCTTCCCTTCCCTTCCCTTCCCTTCCCTTCCCTTCCCTTCCCTTCCCTTCCTTCTCCTTTCCCTTCCCTTCCTTCTCCTTTCCCTTCCCTTCCTTCTCCTTTCCCTTTCTCTTTTTCTCCTTCCCAGCCTGTCCTTTCCACCCAATACAGATATAGATATCTACATGTTCTTTTCTCATTGTAGGAACTTAGCTATTGGGATTGGCATTCAGAACTTCCCTGAAGGCCTTGCTGTCAGCCTGCCTTTGCGTGGTGCAGGATTCTCCACGTGGAAAGCATTCTGGTAAGCAAAGCTCTGCCAGAGCAGGGACTCCTGATCTACAGCTCCTATAAGCAGGTTCCTATGACTTGCTGTCCTGTACCGATTTGCATTGCCTGCCCAGGGCACTGCTGGGGTCACCATCCCTGGAGTTGTGGCCCTGAAGGACACTGTTTAACGGGCACGGTGGGGATAGGTTGAGATGAGACTTGGTGATCTTGGAGGTCTTTTCCAACCTTAATGATTCTTTGATTCAGTTGTTCCATTCTGTGATTCTATTGGGCTGCCTTTGGGATGGACTTGTGCTGGCCAAGGGCCACGTGCCACGGTCTCCATGAAATGCTCAGCCTGCAAAGTTTTGCTGAAGCTGTGCTGTAGACCAGCAGCTCTTGCAGCCAGCACTGCCCGCAGCTGAGGGGCTGCTTTCCAGCTCCCTGCAGTGGGTGCTGCCCCAGTGCCCTGACCTCAGAGCAGGGCTCAGCCCCGAGCCCTGCGGTTCGCTCCATCATGGCTCAGTGTCTGTGGTTAGCTCCCGGATTCTGCACCAAAAGGGGATTTTTACTTTGTTTTCCATTTTTTTTTTTAATTCTCTCACTTCACTCTGGGCTGCATTTCAAACCCACTTTGTTTTTTTCCTTTTCCCTGAGGTGAAAAAGCCAAGGCCATGAACTCTGCAGGCACAGGGCTGCGTTCCTGCCTGTGCACGTGTGCTGTGCTTGGGTGATGGATGGGAGGGCGGGGGGGCTCGCAGGCTGCTCCCTCCAAAGCTTTGTTTTCTTATCCTCCCACCCATCTCCATTGCAGCGAGTGCTGGGACTGCACCAGGGCTGCTGAGGAATGAGTTCCCATGGTCTCATTAAAACAGTCTCAGAAGGAAAGAGAACTGGGGAAAAGAGTGGGGAGGTTGTGGCCAGATGTCCCTTTTGAGACTGGTTGGAAATATTTCCTCTCTTACCTGATCTCACAAGGGGAAGGCATTGGATCGTGTTTGAATTCCCTTCCTGGACAAATCAACATGGTTTGTCATATCTCCTTTGTTGCCCAGTGCTGTGTATGGGGTGAGCTGTGTGGCCTTGGCCCCAGCCCTGGAGGATTTAGGGGATGCCCAGTGACTTTCAGTCCTATTGTCCCACAGGTATGGGCAGCTGAGCGGCATGGTGGAGCCCCTGGCTGGCATCCTAGGAGCCTTTGCTGTGGTGATGGCAGAGCCTCTCCTCCCCTATGCCTTGAGCTTTGCTGCTGGAGCCATGGTCTACGTGGTCATGGATGATATCATCCCCGAGGCACAGACCAGGTGAGACCCCCAACTGGCCCTAAATTCAAGTTAAATATTACAGGTTTGTTCTCAGAAAGAGCAATCAGGCACTGGCACAGGCTGCCCAGTGAAGTGATGGAGTCACCATCCCTGGAGGTGTTCGAGAATGGTGGAGACGTGGCACTGAGGTCAGTGGGCACGGTGGGATGGGTTGGCAGAACTCACACCCTCCCCTTTCTCCCTGCAGTGGCAATGGGAAGCTGGCTTCCTGGACCTCAATACTTGGATTCGTGGTGATGATGTCCTTGGATGTTGGCCTTGGGTAGGCAGCTCGCTGCTCTCCAGGAGAAGACTTCACAGCAATTCCCATGGTGGCATTTGGAACTGGACATGTGTTATGCTTTAGACTTTTTTGGTATATATATTTTTTTGATCTGGTTGGTGTTAATTTCCTATAATTTTATATATCTCTTCCTCATAACATCAAGTCGATGGTTTTCAAAGCACAATTACGGATGGTTCCTTGCAGGTCCTGGTTTCCTTTCGCCACCAGATTTTTTTTCTCCAAGGTTATTGTGAGACGTGCTGGCCAGGTTGCAGATTTTGCTGCAGTTCTGGGGAGGTTTCATTGATTCAGGTCTCTCTTGGTTTTGATCATCCTTGTAGAAGATTAGAAATTCACTGTCGCGTGCTTAAGCTGGTCTGAGGTTAAGGACCAAAGTATTTGAATGCAGTAAACTCCTTAAGAGTCTCAATTTCCAACTCCAGGCTTTGAATGGTGGAGGTGGAGGTGTTAGGACTGGGATGACACGTGCAGCACCCTGGGGGCAGCAGGTCTGGTGGATCCTGCAGTGCTAGGAGTGTGTCACGGTGTTTGTTGGCTGTTTGAGAAGGCAGTGTGTGTTCACCCACATTGCTGCTACGTGGTCGTTGTATGGCACAATGCATTTCCACTTGGGCTCATGGCCCAGCACTACCAAGCAGCTGCCATTCTCCAGCTGCTGTGTTGGGTTGTTTGTTACTGAGCATAGTGCTGTGTTACCCTGAGCCTGGACCAGCTCTCGTCCTGCTGAGCAGCACTGGGATGAAATAACTCATCAGTGTGTGTTAATTATCCACCCATACACCACGTTTATCTGCCTCTTCATCCTCTTCCTTTCAAGCATCTCCTATCCAACAACCACAGGGTGGTTGAACCCATGCTTAAGTGGGGAGCAGAATGCAGGTGTGGGGAGGTCCACACTCTAGGGCTGCTCTGTTTTTCAGGAAGGCTAATGAGGCCCTCCAGCAGGAGTAACTGGATGGCCTGGCAGCATCTCAGCTGTACCTGCACCCAGCAGGGCTGCAGAAAGGCAGCAGGGGGATGGGTTGGGTGAGCTAAGGGAGAGCCATGCACTTCTGTTTGGTTTGTTATTTTGGTTGGATTCCATTTGTACTTCATTTGTATGTCACTCTGGATGATACAAAACTACTGTTTGCCAATGGATTTGACCTTTTAACTGTGATTGGTTTCAATAAATGGGAAATTCAGCGTTTGCACTGATTTATTTTAAGGCAGTAAATCCGTACCTTTCCTTCTCCTCCCTCTGTTTTACTGCATTTCTTTTTTAATGGTTTGGTGGTTCTCAGCTTGACAAATGTCCTGCCTCTCAACCAGGAAGGCAGCAAGCTTGGGGAGAGGGAAATAACAAAATAAGAGCCAAGGAAAGGCATCTGCAGTGCATGGCACCCACGAGTTTGTTTCACTGGGTGTACTGCAGCAGCCCAGCTCGCCCTGGCTCCAACCCCTGACACTGGCTCATGCTTTATGACTCATTAAAAACCAACCAAAACAAATCCCTCAGGAAAAAGAAAGCAGCCCTTGGGGACTCCTTCTCTTCAGCTGACCTGTGATGGCCATGTCCCTGGGGGCACAAGGAGCCTGGACAATGGCTCTTTGTCCATGTGCTGCAGGTAAGTGAGCCCACTTCAATCCTGGTGGGCTCTAAAGTCTTCCCATGGAACTTGGGCTCCAAAGCCTTCCCATGGAACATGGGCTCCAAAGCCTTCCCATGGAACGTGGCAGCCCTGGAGGTGCCCACAGGTTGGGTTTTCTCGCAGGCTGCAAGTCGTGTTTGCTTATTTGATTTCTGGCGTGCGGTGTAAGTTGGTACAAAAAAACACATTATGCATTTAAAGGCAACCTCGTAATCAGATTGCTGAGAGATAATATCACATAATGCACTTAATCCTGCTTAGATGTAGCCAGCCGAGATAATTATGTACATTGGACCTGGAGGGGAGGGCAGGAGGGTGATGCAGAAAACACAGATGAAAATCCTTCTTTTCTGTTTCTACCCTGGAGGTGAATGAAATTATGCATCTATGTCTTGCCACGATTGAAGAGCTGGCTGAGGGCCAGGCCTGGAGTGACGTGTGGAAACAATAGCTGCCAATTAAAAGGTGGAGCCGGGAGCAAAGGCGATGCAGCAGCAGCCAAGTGTGGGGCAGTGCTGGGCTGCAGGCACTGAGCGGGGGGGAGAGGAGCATTAGGGATGGGGGAATTGTCCCATGTTGGCTCTGCCCAACATCACGCAGCTGGGGATGGAGAGCAGTGGGATGGTCCCTGCCCACCATAGGGTTGCTGTGGTCAGTGGCTGCATCTCTGCTTCACACCAGTGTGAAATAGCAGCATCAGAGCTGGGGATTCCCCCCTCTCTAGTTCTTCGATAAAGCTCAGCACAGACAGAAATGTTGGATTGCTGGGTTTTATCCTGAAGTATTAAGGGCTTCTTGTGCTGGCTGGAGATAAATTTCAGACGTGGCCCTACTCCATCCAGAAGCCTCAAAGCCCGAAAGGTAAAGATCTGTTCCTAAATGGCACGTGCTCTTGCTGTCAGATTTAACAGCAACCCCAAATGTAACTCTGTGGACTGCTTTCTGATAGCAGTATGTGTGCTTTTGGGTTTTGCAAACTGTGCTGATGGAGGAGAGGTGTGATAACACCTGAATTCTTCCCAGCCCCAGGGGGATGTGTTTATCAGCAGGTGGGCTCCCAGCATTAAGAGGGTGAGGGTGTGAGCCCAGCTGAAGCCCAGCTGCCCCATTGGGAGCTCTGGGATCTCTGCTGAGCAGTGCTGCTGCAGAAAAGCAATGCTGTAGTTTGCTGCTTTTCTTTCAACCAAGAGCAGATTCTGCCTGCAGGATGCCCATGGCACGGTGTACAATGATGCCAGTGAGCAGCTTGCAACAAGATGGTCTGTGAGTTCATGTGGAAGCTCTCCTGCAAAGAGGAGCTCTGCTGGGGGCATTGCTTGGGGCTGAGTGGGGCACAGAGGGGCTGCTGGTGTTCAGGTGTGTGGCATTACACGTGTTTTGGGATTGGGGCTTTGAGGTGGTGTTGTATGGGGTTGTGAGTGCAAATCTGCTGCTTCAGGCACTCAGAGCTGTGCCAAATATCTCTGGCAATTTGTCCTGTGGTGGCAGGAACTACTGTGGAAATTTATGGATTTTCCTTGGGTTTGGCATGACAGAACCTCCCACCTGTTGTGCTGTGCATGGCGTTGGGCTTCTCTTTGCTCCAGCTGCTCCACACCCTGCCCGAAGTTGGGGTGCTCAAGGGGATCCCATCTCACTCTGTTCTGCTCCGAGCAGTTTGGGGGGGCTTTCCCCAGCAGCGAGCAATAGGGAAAGCTGTGGGAAACACGGGTTTGCTTCCTCTCGTTGGTCTTCAGATGGGATCCGGCGATGGTTGTGTAAGAGGGGCAGGGGCTGCTACGCTCAGCCGGTGCCGTGTGGCTGAGTCAGGGTGCAGGAATGCTGCGCCGGGCGCTCGCCGGGCGCTGGGGACGTTGAAGGCGATGGCGGCTGCGGTTTTCAGGGCTGGGCGGGGACAGCAAACCCCGAGTCGAGAGCTTTGCACGCAACCGAACAATAATCCCATTATTAGAGCCCCGTGCCGTAAAACAAAACACGGTGCAAAACGCTCCTCGGGCTTGCAGGGATGCGCGCCCAGGGGAGATGGCAGCACCTGAGTCATTGCTTAGAAAGGAATGGATTTCACCTCCCTCCTCCCCACCCCCGAGGAGAGAAACAATTCAACCCTTAAAACAAAATGACTTCTATTCTTTGTGTGTGCGTTTTGTTGTACTTGGCAACGGGGCTGCAATTAAAACTGAGACTCTCTCATGTGTGCACACATGCAGCTCCCATCCCCGAGCTCCAGAGTGCACACGCAGCCATTCCTCTGCTTCCACCAGCTCAGGTGCTCTGACCCATCCAGCCACATCCACCCCCGAGCCCCAGCAGCCGGCCTGTTTTGAGGAGATGAGAGGAAAGAGGAGAAATTCCAGCCCTGCTGCCCCTTTCCTGGGGGAGATGCTATGGGGCCATTGAGTTTCTTGCTGAGATTTACTGCCAGTCCCTTTAAAAATGTATATATTGGTGCTCTAAGCATGCATTTAGTCTTGCATGGTCAGCCAACTCTTGAGAACTGTGCCATCGAGTGGCTGTGGCTCCTGAATGTTCCCCTGGCTGCAATACAAGTGCTGCAAGCAGTGATGGGGGGTGTATGGAATGGCCCCTGTGCCACACGTGTTCCCCATGCTGCTGTGTGTCCTGGGAGGTGCCATGGGTTGGGGTTAGGGTAAAGCAATGTCAATCCAGCATTGTTTCTATTGTAAATTCTTCTGACTGAAGAGCAATTCCAAATGGGGAAGGAGAGGAAATGGAGCAGTGTGGGGTCTGTGCATGGCACCATTCTGTTCTTAGTGCCTCTTTCCTTATTTCAGGGCACTTATAGCAGGGAGGGGAAGGCAGTTGCGCAGGGATAGGGAGAAGGTATTCCTTAGGCTCTCAGATGTCCTGAGTTAAGATTTTTGGGATGCATTTCTGTGCTTTGTAATCCAACAAGGAGAGGTTCGTGAGAGCAGGAAACTGAGCCTGTGGGTTTATTTTAATACAATCTTACAAATTGCTGATGATAACTAAAAAGCTTTTGTGTCCAGAGCTGGTTTGCATGCGGGAATTGCTTAAATCTCTCTCGGCCTATTGCATTCTCATGTTCTTATGCAAACAATGAAACCATTACAGAGCCCAACACATGCTCTCTCCTCATCTCATCCTGTACAATCCTTCTGCTGTGCCTGAAGCAGAAAAGAGAACCTCTGCTCCAAAAGCCATGTGAAAATCTTGGGGAAGAGAATGGCCTGGATCTGCTTTCCTTTTCCTGCAAAGTAATTTCTCTGCCATAAATTTGTCATTGAGAGCCAAGGGAAGATTAGCTCATGTGGAAAAATGTGTGCTGGGAAACAATGGAGAGACTGGAAAGGGCTGAGTGGACAAAAGGACCAATGGATGGACAGATAGGTTGGTGGAATGGATAGTTGGATGTACATCAGGTAGACAGATGAGTGGATGGATGGACAGTTGGATGGATAGATGGACAGATGGATGAATGGTCGGATGGACAGTTGAATAGTTGGACAGGCAGATGTGTGGATGGATGGACAGATGGATGGAGGGAGGGCTGGACGGATGGATGGATAGACAGACAAATGGACCTACTTCAGGAGCTGGGGTCTTTCCCATGGAACAGCCTTGGGACCAAGGAGGAGCTTTGGGAGTGATGCTGATCACCTGTCTGCCCTCTGCTGCCCGTGGTTCCTGGGCAGTGGCTGCTGTGCTGCTGTGAAAAAACCTTTCTGAGAGCAAGGAAATGTATTCAGACAGCAAGGGGGCTCCAGGGCTTCTCAAGTCATTAAACAAATTAAGTTATTTAGAACGTGGAGGCCCCAGATGACTGGGTGTGAAAGCCCCGGGGGCCTCTGTAATTGCTGTGCAGAGGCAGTCCTGGTGGGTGGGAGGGTGTCAGGGGATTTTGCCTTCTCCTGGAGTAGTCCCAGCCAGGTTTGGCTCCCCAGGGCTCTTGGGGACTTGGTGGCAGCAGCACCTATGCTGGGAGGCCTGAAGTGATGCTGTGGTCCAGCAGCTGCTGCTGTCCCTGCCCTCTTGGTGTGCTGCACCTTCAGCTGGGCTCCAATCCCGCAGGGACTCGCTCCTTCTGACACCTGGCAGCAGCTTTCCAAGGAAAGATGCAGAATTCCTGAACTTAGCTGCCTCTTCCTTTGCAGCGTTAGACATGCTCTGTGTTTAGACAAGATGACAAGCTGATAAGGCACTGTGCTGCAATCTCCTCTGGTGAGCTGTGAGCAGGAGCCTCCTCTGGGCTGGGATTGCACCGGGTCCTCTGGATGTGTTCTGGACAGACAGAAGCATCCCCACATGTGTCCCCAGATGTGTCCTCACACTGTAGCACCGTGCTTTGATGGCACCTTCACCTCTCCCATCTTCTGCCCCCAGGATTTGGGACAGATGCTTCTCACATTGCTGCAGCCTGTTGATCTCACTGGTTCTCAGCAGGTGACAGGAGGTGCTCTGAAAAGTGCCACCATCTCCATGAAGCCATCAGCCCTTCGTGTCCTGCTGGTCACATCATCTCCCAGTTGCGTGCGCTCATTTTTCCTATGGGGCTGTGCTGTGGGAGCTCAGCACC